AAATAGTTTCATGGCCGTGACCAGCATTCGAAATCTAGGGCAAATTAGGTGTGATACAAGAGTGTCAAATAGTTGGTAGCTAAAGACTTCGTTACTTATATTTAAAGAAACTGCCTTGGCCTCTAAGAATGTGAGAATGAACAAAATTAGAAGATTCTGGTAATATTTTTGTACCTGAAATATAGCATAATGCCTCTATTAAAGACTTATAATAGAACATGCGTCAACACCGGCATGATCATGATCATCATGCACTTCTCTGAACCTTTGTAATCCTTAAGAGTTGTTTAGAAGTGCTGCGATTTAGGGCTGAAAAGGTGGACAGACGTGTAGGCAATACCAATAATGAGAAGAGATTTTGTGTACCAGCATTTACAACATACAATCATCCATCTTCAAACTCTTGGAACTCAAATATTTGACATGATACTTACAATTATTCAAATAAAATCTATACTGAAAAATTTTAATGGACAAAAAGGAATCATACTTAGGAAAAATATACTTTAAACTAGAAAAATATGATGAGTTTCTAATCAATTTAGTGTTAGAGTATGACCTTGTGTCAAGGTCAATACTGTAGATAGGGTGTGGCTAACACACACCAACAGTAAAATAAATGTTATATGTAGTTGAAACCCAAGACCTATTCATGGTGTGAATACTTTGTTCTCCATTCCAATGTTAAAATTTATAACGAGTAAACTTGCTTTGTCTAACGGTACTTTCTTTTAGCTGATAAATATGTTTGGTCTTGTTACAGTCTTTATCCAAAGCTTAATATATTGAAAAACTCAAGTATCCAACCTATCTATCATAGAACCATGCACCTAACAGTCCCTAAACACAGACTCCTTAATTTGAATTGAATTGCTTTTAATAAGTACATTTGCAAGAATGTGTTTTTCCTGTGATGACAATAATAAGTAAAGGAAACTACAGGTGCATAAGCATGCTAAAATAATCTTTCCCCAAATTTGAATAGCTAAGCACTTATTATTTGAAAATACAGCCAGCCACGTATTTTCCAGAGCAAGTATAATAGTGCTCTTAGAAACTACAGGCTATCCACAACACAGCCTTTCCTAGTTCTTTACTAAAACAGATATTAATGGAATACAATAGTTGCTAATGGGCTATTGAACTCCAGGATAGAAAGGAAGCTAGACTGGGGTGATATATGCCCATTAGCGAGTTCTTAAAGTAACCATAGAGTGAAGCACTGGCTCTTCCAGGCATCAGTCTAAGCAGGAGTAAAGGAGGATTCAACTCTGAAATAGGCCATACCTGAATTTCTGCCTAGTAGGAGATTTCATGTTGCTTGATAAACTTATAATTAGTGTGATATATGGCAGGAAACTTTTCCATTTAAAAAAATTGAAAGAGATTCTGAACATAATTATCTTACTAGAATCTGGCCAGAAAAACTAAACATTTCCCAAGTGAAGAATAAAATGTGACCCTTCAGGAGGGTGAAAGGAGTTTCAGAGCATCTCAAACTCTAAATTTTATGAAGCAATAAAAAATTCTCAGAGAAGAGCCGGCTAACTCCATATTTGCATATGAACTATGACCCATGATTCACTCTGAAAACAATGTGAGGATAAATTTATAATTGAGCTCCAGGTCTGTATAACGTGGTGTCAATGAATCAAACAATATATAATAAATTTCATAGACAGTTTGATTTTAGTTCTTGAGGTGTAAATTACGGGTGGGCTGCCATTACAGATAGATGTATTGTTGGGATGATAAAAACAGTGAAGTTAAAAAGTCTTATTCTGCTTTAAGTATCTGAGCTTCAGAAGAGAGAGAAACTCAGTGGGGGAGATGACGAGTGATGATCGGAACAGAAAAGAACTAATCCCAGTGCCAAAAATAAAAGGAAAAATCAAAGCTAAGCCACCGGTGTGACCTATCTCAACCATCCCAGGGTGAAATGAATCAATCCAACTTGCAATCTGTGGCCGAGTGTAGAAATGGATCTAGAAAAATCAAAGAGGATAGACTGGGGGAGGAGGCTGGGAGAGCCTGCTGGGTAGTTGTTTGATCAAGCTCAGCTCTGCTGTATCAGATGAGAAAAATCAAACAGCTTTGCTGTGTGTTGGTGGAACATTTATGGATTTTAATTCTGCTGGAATGCACATGTTCATTTTGTCTGGGAGTGGAGTCAGACAGACCATGTCACCTAACACACTTAATCTGTATTTATCAAACATTCAACTCCATTCCTTTCATTGATCTGAAGAGCTAGAAATTCAGAATTCATAAAGTTTAGCACAAGAAATGAGATAATGGAATCAAAGATATTCTTGGTAGGTTTGAAGACTCCAATGCATTTTCAAAACCTAAATAAGCCTGCATGAAACCACTTAATAAAAACACAGAGTAAACCTCTTTTAATACAGGCTTTATTACCATTTACGATCCTCCTTGTTCTCTACTTTCCTCAGGGAAAAATCATATTTCAGTACAAAATTTGCATGTCTATAAATCTTTTGAATCTTGTAAAAATTTAGCTTTTAGTAAATCTGAAAGTAAACAATAAAACTCATTTCCAAAGCTGATAAGAGATAAAAAGGTCAAGATAATCCCACGCATCATTCTCTATGTTCTTAAAAATTACAGTGGGGTATTGTTAAGGAATTTCTTTTCATTATTTTCAGTAAAGTTTTTATCTAAAGATGCACATTCCTAAAAAATTATTTTTCATATTTTCCCCAAAACCTTTGAACTATTGTGTGTATAGAGGGCATATAAATTGGATGGTCAAAAAAAAATTTTGTATCAAAATTCATGGTCATTTAAAATAGAAAAGTAAAAGGGAAAAAAAGGAATACAGTTATTTTTGAACAAAGCTCTTCATCCTGATCATGTGTCCATAGGACAGGTTGGGGATTCAGGCTCTCTACAGAAAAAGGACTTAGCTTTCCCAGGGGGTCTCTTCATATGCACTTAATGGGGAAATAACTTACATTTCTTCGGTTACACTTAACCATTCAAGAGGTGATGTTGGGAAAAATATCAAGACAATGAAAAAGTTCTAAATATGTGTATTATAATAGTGGAGGTTTATTGTTCAATTAATTTGGTGGGAAAAATAATATTAACGGTGGTGGTATTGCCACGTGATAGTCTTCGTCTATGAATGAATATTAGGAATAAATAGATCTGCAATCAAATTCCAGCTCTGCCACTGTCAAATTTCATAAGCTTGAGAAAGTGACCGCATGGGTGAACCTCAGTTGCCTCATCTACAAAATGAAGATGTGAAATGTAATTGTAAAGCAAAACACAATGCCACGGGCATCCTAAGCAAATAGTAATACTTAATTCTGATTAATAACATTTGATTAATGACATTTTTACGCAATCACAAGAATTGATTAATAGCAGTATATCTTTCAATTAATTGAAGTATAAAGCATGTTATTAGACATTGCAGAGCAGGCACGCACCTTCTCATCAACTATTGTAGGACAAAGGGCGATAAGAAACATCGGAGAGAAGAAAAAGTTCCTTTTCTTTCCTTGGACTTATATTTACACTATTTTGTAGCTAGCTGAGGCTTTCAGAGTGCTCGTCAATCTGGGGAAAGTGGCAGAGCTTTATTTAATTGATGAATGCCTTACTAATTTGAAGTGCTTCATTAGAAGAACTTTTGTAAATTATTTGCAAGAACAGCAGGATTGCTCATGCATAAACTTAATGAACTAACCAACAAACAAATTGATAAGATTGTTAAAAAGATGCTTATCCAAGAATTCTTTAGTGGCTTCTCTACAGGACCTTTAGAAGACTTTAGTGAATTTTCTCAGATTCTTGTTTGTCTTTACCTGTCAAGAGTGGCACATGCCAGATGTAAAGAAAATGTGATTAGCATGAGTAATTTTTTATTAGTTCACATTAAAACTAATATATGCAAAAAGCATGATAGAAACTAGTACTAGTTAGAAAGACTATTTCTGTACTCAGACTAAAATTATGTCAACCATGTTTAACTTGGCTTAGCTGATGTGATTTTTGGAATTATCAGCGTGTGATTTCAAAAACACTTAGGAACTTGGTAAAAGAATTTGCCAAGGTGAACACCATGGCATTAAAATTATTCAAGAGCATATGTTAAACCTGTACTCTGTATCCGGCACTTGGCCAAACCTTTGCAACACAGCAATGAGTAAGACATGTTCTCTTCCTCTTTGTCAGGTAGAGAGACAGATAAGGAATCAAAAGTTATAAAGAGACCCTTCTAATATCCTGAAAGACAGTGGTTTTTGACAGCGTGTGCATTGTCTAATGATTTGTTCATGAAAAGCAATTTGCCTGGGAGGAATTAAGGAAAAGGAACTAGTTGACACGAGATGTGGTTCACAACAAGCACGCTGAACCTCAAACTGCCTTGAGAAGTCTGCAAAACACTAAGTAATCTGGACACTCTTCTTTAAATCTAGACTCCACCCTTTAATTTTTGGGAACATAACAGTACAGATGTCACAACCAGTTCATTGGGATTTGCGTGACACATGAAGCGGTTTCGCTGTTCTGGGCTGAGTTTCCATTCACAGGATAAATTCAGATGGTGTGGTTCATCACTGTTGACATTTTTTAAAATAAACTCCATTTGAAGTATAGCATATTTACAGCAGAGTGCACAGGTCAGAAGTGTTTAGCTCAGGGCATCATCACAAAGTGAACACCCATTTAACCATGACCCTGGCCAAGATATAGAATATTATCAACTCAAAAGCCCCCATGATTCCCTTTTCCAGTCACTACTCCACCTGTCTTCTTAGAGGTAACAATATTCTTCTAAAACAATGGCTTCTTTTCAACGTCATATTTGTGAGATTTATCATTATTGTTGTGTATAGCAGTAAATCGTTCATTTCCATTGCTATAGAATAATTCATTGTATTAATATATTTCAATTTTAATTTATTTTAATATATTTAATTTTAATATATTTCATTCTCCTGTTGTTTGATGTTTCATTTGTCCAGTTCAGGCTTATGATGAAGAATTCTCCTCTGAATACTATTGTCTACGGCTTTCAAAGGACACATATATGCATTTCTCTTGGATCGATGTTCAAAAGTGGAATGGCTCCTTCCTAGAATTTATGTATGTCAAGTATATGTAATAAAAACATCATCTTTGCCTGTCTTCCACTGTTTAAAATGTTGTCTTTTGATCGACACAAGGTCTAACTTTTTAAATTAAACTTTCTTTTAAATTAATAGACTATTTTTAAAGAGATTTTTAGGGTTATAGAAAAGTTGAGTAGTATAAAGTACAGAGAGTCCCCATTCATGATCTAGTTTAATGTTGTCCAAGCTAGCAATATTTTCCTTCATCCTTAATGCTTTAAGAGCTTTGTTTAAGAAATCTTTGCTTATCCCCAAATCAAGAGATGTTTGCCTCCTCCAAATTCAGAATATGTTCAACTTTATCAACCAGAGCATTTTTGTTTTAACTTTTACCTCTAGAGTTACTATCCATGTGAAATTTTCACCACTACGTATTTTCCTGTTGATCTGCAAGATCACTATTGCCATCAGTCAAGTATCCATATATGAATGTCTATTTCTGAATTCCATTATCTTTTACTTAACAATTCATCAACCCTTGTAACCACTGCAACACTGTCTTAATTACCATGTATCTTTGTAAACCTTGATACACAATTGTATATATATTTTATTATTTTATTCATATTGTTTCTTGATTCTTAAGATCTCACTACCTTGAATACCCAATACCTTTCAGGATTTTTTTCTGTCTTTTCTAGTTGTTCCCCATTATTTTCATCTTGTCTATCATTACTAATGTGGAAGCAATGGCAATACTTTCCAAGTAATACACAATAATGGTGTGAGGTGATGTCCCTCTTGCTCTCCCTTGCTCTGTCCAAAATATATCAAAACAGAGAGGCATAGAGAACGTGATGGACTGAGCATAATGACATACGTCTATGCCATCATCTTCCCTGCAGGGCTGCTTCCCCTGTTGAGAGTTACCTGTATTTGTTTACTTACTTAGTCTTCCTTCATTCATTATATAATTTCTCTTGGTTTGTGGACTTCCTCTTTACTGCAGTCTCTGCATGATCATTATAGAAAACATCTATGTTATAGGTTGAACTGTGTCTCCCCAAAATTCAAGTGTTGAAGTCCTAACCCCCAGTATGTCAATATGTGACCTTATTTGGAAATAGTGTCATTGCAGATATAATTAGTTAAGATGAAGTCCTACTGGAGTAGAGTGGGGTCCTAATCCAACATGACTGGTATCTTTATAAAAGGAGAAAATTTAGACACAGACACGTGCTTAAGGGAATGCATGTGAACATGAAGGCAGAGATCAAGGTGATGCCTCTACAAGCCATGCACTTCCAAAGATTGCCAGCAAACCACCAGAAGCTGGAAGACAGACACGAAACAGATTCTCCCATACAGCCTCAGAGGAGACAATACTGTAAAAACTTGGTCTCAGACTTCTAGCTCCAGAACTGTGAGAAAATAAATTTCTGTTGTTTAAACTACTCAGTCTGTACTACTTTGTTGTGGCGGCCCTTACAAACTAAAGTAATCTACAAGGCTGACAGCTCCAAAACTATGGACTCTCAGTTCATCAATCTCCTTACTAACAATCAACTTCTGTGTTCTTAATCATTCATTTATGTTTTTACCAATGAGAATATGGCATCATCTTACTATACTTCCAAAATGACTAATTCAAATATCTCACTTTCGGCAAAATTCCCTTGTGAAATATGCTTGTTGTTCCAAAGTAGATCAGAAATGGCTATTCACTTACTCCCTTTTTTCTCCTTACTCATGCTTTCACTTCTTACCTTGGAATTCATATACCATGATTCATTATTCCAATAAAAATATTACCAAACCATAATGTCCTTGGCCACCTGTCAATGTACTGCACCTGCATGGCAAACATTCAATCCCGTATAAAATCAGAAGCTGTTTTGTTCCTTCCAATATTAGAACAGCCAAGCGCTGCAAGTCTATGTACCACACAGGCTGTCAACATTATATGACCACCTGAGTGTGACAAAAAAAAAGACAATAGAACATGAAACCCCAAAAGTGGTAAACAAGTCATACCAAAGACTATCAATCTAACAAAACGAATGACAGAAACAAAACTGTAGTAAAGAAAGAGCAGAGAGAATAGATGGTATTAAAAATCCACAAATACTAGTAATTTTACCAAGCAAGACAGAATTTGTTTAAACATGGAGATATCTATATTAGAATTTTTTAAATTAAGCAAATTCAATTCTACTTTTCTTACAAATAACATGCCCAAACCAAAGTGAAAGAGATACTATGAAAATTAAGGATGGAAAAGAAAATATCAAGCAAATAATAACTGACATCAAACCAAGTATGTAAATATTACTATCACTTAATAGATGTTATAATAAAATAGATATAAAAAACAAGTGGGATTAAATCAAATTAAAACTTTTCTGCACAGCAAAGGAAACCATCAACAAAATAAAAAGGCAATATACTGAATGGGAGAAAGTATTTGCAAATCACATATCCAATAAGGGCTTAATATTCAAAATGTATAAAGAACTCATAGAACGCAGTAGCAAAAAAATGAACAGTCCAATTAAAAAATGGACAGAAGATCTGAATAGACATTTTTCCAAAGAAGACATACAGATGACCAGCAGATACTTGAAAAGATGCTCAACATCACTAATCATCTGGGAAATGCAAATCAGAACTACAATGAGATATCACCTCATACCTGTAAGAATGGCTGTTGTCAAAAAGACAAGAAATAGCAAGTGTCGGCAAGGAAGCGAAGAAAAGAGAAGCTTTGTGCATTCCTGGTGGGACTGTGCATTGGTGGAGCCATTATGGAAAATAGTATGGAGATTCCTCAAAACATTAAAAATATAACTACCTTATGATCCAGCTATTCTACTTGTGGGTATTTGTCCAAAAAAAAAAGGAAATATTAGCTTGAAAAGATATATGTACCTCCATGTTCATTGCAGCGCTATTTACTATAACCAAGATACAGAAACAACCTAAGTGTCCACCAGTGGAGGGATGGATAAAGAAATTGTGGTGTGTGTGTGTGTATGTTCAATGAAATATTATTCAATCATAAAAAAGAATGAAATCTTGCCATTTGTGACAACATGGATGGACCTTGAGGACATTATGCTAAGTAAAATAGGTCAGATAGAGAAAAGTAAATACTGTTTCATCTCTCTTATATCTGGAATCTAAAAAAAAATACGAAAACATCAAGCTCATAGATACAGAGGACAGATTGGTGGTTGCTAGAGGCAGAGGGTGGGGGTTGGGAGAAATGGGATAAGGGAGTCACAAGGTAAAAAAAAGAAATTGATTTATGAACATGAAATTTGAATTACATATAATTTTCCCATGTCATGAAATATCCTTCTTTTGATTTTCTCCAACTATTTAAAAAGGTAAAACCCATTAACAATTTTTGTAAAGCTTGTGAGCTATACAAACATGGACAGAGGGATACTGCCCATGTGCCCATAGTTTGCAGGCCCCTGGGTGGATGGATCAAGGGCATATTGTTTGTGAGTGAGTATGGAATATTCCAAAACACCGTCTAGTGCATGTTATCATCATTATTGTACCTCTACTACTACTTCCACTCACTCTGTATGACAGGGGGCCAGGACTCCTTCTGACTTGCTATCTTGTATCCCAGGGCCTAGCATAGAGTAGGTGCTCAGCAAGTACGTGTAAGGCACATAGAAAACATAGGGACATTGGAGGAACCAAGACGGAGACATAGCAGGCTCCTGAACTTCCCTCTTCTCATACACACCATATGTACAGCTACATGGGGAGCGATTCTCTCCAAGAGAAATCCAGAAAATAGCTGAGTGGTTACTACTTGTAGGGCAAATGAGAAAAAACCCACATCGGACATGTAGGAAAGGCAGAGACACTCTCATCATAAACCCCACTCCCCTCACAGCATTATATACTTGGGAGGGAAGTCTCAACTGCCAGCTTCCCCCTGAGGAGCAAAGAGTTGGACTCTACATCTAGCGCCTTGACTTTTAAGTCTCCCATCAAGGGGCAGACCCCCAAAACACCTAGCTGTGAAATCCAAGGGGGCTTGTGTCCATGAGTCCTACAGGACTATAGCAAACCAAGAAGCAGGTCTTCAGGGGTGCAGGGGCACTGGCTGTGGCTATACCATTAGGGCTCAGTAGAGGGAACAAGCGAAAACACTCATCTCTGTCTTTCCCTGAAGAGGGTTGACTGCATGCTTTACAAGCTGTTGCCTGAGGATCCCTTTTCCAATAAGCATGCATTTGGGGGCTGACTGTGATGCTCCCCAGAGCCTGGGGTGCTGGCTGGCACTTCCTTGCCTTCTCCCTGCAGCTCATTACAACAATAAAATGAAGGCAGTGTCTCTCTGGAAGAAGCTTGTATAATGAACTCATAATACTCTAATTTTATGATGGTCGTGAGTAAATTACTTATAACTCTAGTATAAAGGTTAAAATACAAAAGTAATAAAAATAACTACAAAAATTCGTTAATGGATAAGCAATATAAAAAGATGTAAATTGTGCCATTGAAAACATGAAATGTGGGCAGGGGGTGTAAAAATGTAGAACTTTTGTATGCTTTCATAGTAAGTTGTTATCAGCTTAAAATAGATTCTTATAACTATAGGATGTTTTATGTTTTACTTCATGGTAACCACAAAACAAAATCCTATAGTGGATACACAAAAGATAAAGAAAAAGTAATCTAGGCATGCCACTACAGAAAATCATCAGATCACAAAGGAAGAGAGCAAGAGAGGGAGAAAGGAAAAATGAATTACAATACAGCTAGAAAACAATTAACAAAATGGCAATTCTAAGTCCATACCTATCAATAATTACTCTAAGTGTAAATGGACTACATTTTCCAATGAAAAGATGTAGAGTGGCTGAATGGATAAGAAAACAAGATTCAACTGTATGCTGCCTACAGGAGACCCACTTCAGTTTTACGGACACACATGGACTGAAAGTGAAAGGATCAAGAAAGATGTTCCATGCTAATGGAAACCAAAAGAAAGAAGTGGTATGTATACTTACAGCAGACATAGCAGACAAAATAGATGTTAAGCCAAAAATTGTAATAAGAGACAAAGAAGGTCATTATATAATGATAAAGAAGTCAATTCATGAAGACGATATAACAATCATAAATATTTATACATGCAACTTTAGAGTACCTAAATATATACAGCAAATATTAACAGCTGAAGGGAGAAACAGACAGCAATACAATAAGACGTCAATAAGACAAATAGACGTCAATACCTGACTCAGAAAACAGTATGGAGATTCCTCAAGAAATTAAAAATAGAATTACCATATGATCTAGCAATTCCACTTCTGGGTATCTATCCTTTCAAAAGAGATCACTATCTTAAAGAGATATCCGTACTCTCATGTTCACTGCAGTATTAATCACAATAGCCAGTAGTTGTACAGAAACAACTTAAGTGTTTGTTGATGGCTGAATGGAGAAAGAAAATTTGGATGGGTAAAGAAAAAAATCTATACACAATGGAATATTACTTAGCCTTAAAAAAGAAGGAAATCCTGCCATTTGTGACAACATGGATGAACCTAGAGGGCATTATGTTAAAGGAAAAAATCCAGACAGAGAAAGACAAATACTGCATGGTATCACTCATATGTGAAATCTGAAAAAAGAAAAGTCGAACTTATAGATACAGAACATAGTATAGTGGCTGCCAGGGACTAGGGGAGAGGTTGCTAAAAGGATGAAAACTTTTAGTTATAAGATGAATAAGGTCTGAGGACCTAATATATAACAAGATGACTATAGTCGATAGTACTGTTTTGCGTAATTGAAATTTGCCATTAGAATAGAACTTAAGTGTTCTCACCAAAAAAAGAAAAAGAGGTAAACATATGGGGTGATGGATGTGTTAATTAACTCAGTGGTGGTAATCCTTTCACAATGTACGTATATATCAAATCATCGTGTTGTACACATTAAATATATTACAATTTTGTTTATCAATTATACCTCAGTAAAGCTGAAAAAATAAAACTGGTAGAGAAAAAATGTTACATAATAAAAATGTAACAATCATGAACTTGCTTTCATATGTGCATACAAAATATAT